AAATTTGTTATTTGTTAGAAAGACAGTACTTAGTGTTCCTGATATTGGTACATCAAGCCATCTGCGGATATATTTGTTGGCAATAGAGTCGATATTTTCAGTAACTCATGTTTTAGAGAGTGTTGCGACGGTGAAGTGCCAGGCTAACTTGGACAAGACGTAGCGACTGTAGAGGAGCAGTTTATTTTTGGGATGTAGTGGCTTTGAGTCAATATCAGTCATTAGTTCATTAAGTTGGGTGGTTAGTTCAGTTTTATGATTATCATTCGACATGTGAAAATCAAAGTAACGTCCTAAATATTGAAACGATTCTCCAATAGAGATTTTTGGTATTAGTTGATTGCCGATGAGGAGTTTTGGCAAGTACTGAACTGATTTTGTGATGGCTTTTTTAATGCCAAAGGTACAGATGGCTTTTTTAATGCCAAAGGTTGTCAACTCGGATAATCATATCGGACCATTGGCACCAGATAGAAAATCGATTTAATAGATGTTGGTTTTCGGATTCTTGGCCAGTAATTACAGCCGCGTCATCAGCAAACTGGAACCAGTGGATGGGATTTAGTAATTTGAAGGAAAACCCAAATTGACGGTATTTTTCAGCTTTGATATGCTGAACGAATGTATTGAAGCACATGTTAAAAAGAAGAGGACTGAGGCAATCTCCTTGCAACACGCCACGGCCAACTGTCATAAAAGGAGTGCGGAATTCAGAGGTAATTATCGAGGTTTGGAAATCAGTATATAAACTTTTTATAACAAATTTTATATGATCAGGGATATGGTGGTAGTCAAGTACGGATTGGATGAGGTTGTGATGGATTTCGCCGAAGGCATTCTTAAGATCAAGTTGGGTGATGACAACAGAGCGTTGTCTGATCCGAGCTTTATTAATAATGTCAGCCATTTGTGCAGTATGTTCTAGAGTGCCAGATAGGTTGGGGTGAAGCCTTTTTGTATGTTGTGTTCGACGAAGTTATTAGATGCGAGGAAGGAGTATACTGCGTAAATACTTATAATAAGATGTAAATACTTTTAAAGGAATGGATTCAAGTGTTATGGGGCGGAAATTTGAAGGGTCATTATTGTTGCCTTTCTTGTGGATTAGTATGGTACATGCTCTTTTCCACTCAGTTGGGACAGTTCCAGATAGTCAAATATCGTGAATTAGCTCAGTAAGGTAAGTCCTCAGATAAGGACAATGCTTGAAACTTATTATAGAAAGTTGATCAAGAGGGCAAGGAGAACCAGACGATTTCATTTTGCGTATAACATTCGTAATTTGTTGATAGGTCGGGGGGTCAAGGTTAATAATAATAATAATAATAATAATTATTATAATAATAATGATAATAATAATAATAATAATAATAATAATAATAATAATAATAATAATAATAATAATAATAATAATAATAATAATAATAATAATAATAATAATAATAATAATAATAATAATAATAATGGAAACTTTATTAAATGTTTTTCTTTACATACATATACAATCGTAAATCTTTCTCATAAAGGTAACTTACGGTTGGCTATTTGAATCACAATTATACTAAACTAAAATAACAGAACAAAGTGCATGCAGTATATATATACAATGAGATAAGTCAAATTGTTAGTAAATCCGGATTTTCCCATTCCTTATTTCGGCAGCAAAAAATGTAATATGTAGTTCTAATAGCAATAGTCATCATTTTCCTAACGCTGTACATTTGGTGGTTTTTGTCAAGACCAATACTATCTAACATGTCTAAAAATGTATAACATTCTTCTGCAAAAATACCTAAAGAGCTGATGGAGAGATTTATAAATTTAACTTGGTTAAAATTTTTACCTAGCTGTCTCAATAATTCTCTATATTTATCCTTCTTTCGTTTTACGTTGTTTTTGAGGTTTGTCTCATAACCAGT